CGCCGGGTTCAGAACCTATATGCTGTGTCCACGGGAGAGTCAGAGCTGCAGTTCGACAAAAAGGACCGTTTCACCTTCTGTATTAAGGATCCAGGAAGAAGAAACTGGGAGGCAGGCTACAACAGCAGTTCGCAGCACCTACCTACGTTTAAATTCTGACCACGTGACCTTGGGATAATCGCTTCACGTCCGTGAACATCATCTGTAAGAGGGACTATGCATCTTGATTTCACACGATGTCAAAAGAGAAAATGAAAGCATTTACTTAGCACAGTGCCAGGAATGTGGTAGGACCCAGTGAATCATACTGATAATTCCTATTAATGCCTAGTAAACTCAAGGCTAGGTCTAGTTTCTGACTGGACGTTTTCACGGTAGGTCCCTTACTAGCTTCGCCCTTGATTTAACTCACTGTTTTGCTTTTATTTTTTCTCCTGTCCTCCCGCCTTCCCTCTCCTTCCTTCCTTCCTTCCTTGTCTCCCTTCCTTCTTCCTTCCTGTCTTTTCTTGCTTTAAAAATTATTTTAGCCTGGAGTTACCTTTGGTAGAAAGCAGAAATAGAAGGCTAGTTGGTGTTTTAACTAAAAACACCCATTTCAAGGAACCCAGCAAGAAGTAGTCAGTGCAGAACTGATTGCAAATCTACATCTAGCAGTCCCCACGACGCACGGCGAAAACAGTAAGAGGCTTCAGCAGCTGAAAACGCTTTCCAGAAAGCCCGAGGAGAGGCCTCGGCCTGACTCACTGTTGCCCTGGCAACAGGAGGGCCTGGAGGCCTCCGTCCTTGATCCCTTAATCTGAGGAGCCGCCACAACACCGCCCCCAGAGAGGTCCCCACAGACACCTGGCTCGTTACAGTTACCCTGCCTGGAAGGAGGGTCAGGGGAGAGATGGCGGCGTGGCCCTTCCTGCCCCCGACAGCGGCCTAAAGGTCTCCGTCAGCCTTCACAGGCCTCAGAGGAGAATCAGGCCGCAGTCTCCGGTGGGTTCTGAGTGCTGTCAAGGCAGCGCAGGGTTTCCTAATCCTTTTGTGTTTCTCCATGGCGCGCAGCACAATGCTCTGCACACAAGGGGTGTCTACCAAGTACGGCGTCCGCGCGGTGCCAGCGCCGCGGCCGCCCGGTCACCGCCCCCTCCCGGGTGAGCCTGCGGCAGGCAGCGACCACCGTTTCTGCAGCCGCAGACAGGGGCTCCCTGACCCCTAGGCCTTTCTGGCCCCTGAGATTCCTTTTTTTTTTTTACCCTCTTGCTACGTTCGTGATTTTGGCAAACGTTCGGCACAGACCAAAATTCTGCTCAGTATACGTATTCCCCTGATTGTACCTTAAATTTTTAAATCTGAGGGTAAAATGGGGTCATTTTGAAAAGAGAGGCTCCGACTTCTCTTTTGTCAATAACCATTCGGGTTATTTGGCCAAACACTTGGGCTTTGGTGCCAAGACGGCTTGAGTTCAAGTCTTGGCTCTGCCACCGTGATTGCTGTGTGACTCTGGGCCAACTGAACCTCTCTGGGCCTCAAACTTATAAAATAGGCTTCACTTATAAAATGAGCGTGTGGTGCACACATCTGAGCTATAAGGCCTTCGAAGGTACGTGTAACCTTCAACAGTGAAAGGACTTTGATAAATGGCAGTTATTTTCTTGGGCACACAACCCTGCGGGGCCAATGGCAACTGACAGTTCAGGAGTTTGAGTCTGGCTTTCTACTAAGTTAAGGGCCCTGGGGAAGGGCCATGAGGGTACCACTACCCAGGAAGGTGGGTACTACCCACTGCAGAGGCTGGCGTGTGGCTGACATGTGAGTTTAAACCCCTGTCCACTCCCACTTCAAGACTAAGTGCAGTTGTCTGTGTGATTTAACTTGAAGGTCCTTCCATCAAAGTAATTTTCTTTTTCTGTCTGGTGGGGAAATTGCCTTTCTCAGAGATTCATTCTTTTAGGACACAACACCACCTCACTACCTGCCCAGACTTTCTGCTTTTACTAAAATTAAGCTATCATTAGTTTCCCTGGTGGCTCAGATGGTAAAGACTTGGCCTGCAATGTGGGAGACCTGGGTTCGATCCCTGGGTTGGGAAGATCCCCTGGAGAAGGGAAAGGCTACCCACTCCAGTATTCTGGCCTGGAGAATTCCATGAACAGAGGAGCCTGGAGGGCTATGGTCTTTGGGTCACAAAGAGTCTGACAGGACTGAGTGACTTTCACAGCCATAAACGAATCTGAAATTAGCAGACTTTCATTCAGACCTTGGGATGTGCCAGCATCTTTGCTACATATTTATTGTTATTAAGCTTTGGAACAATGCTTTATTGTTCCTGGTTCACAGGTGAGGACACGGTCAGTTAATTAGCTTGTTCAAGGTGACACAGCTATCACGTTTAAATCCACATCTATTCAACTCCAGGGTCCAACTCTGCTTATAGTGATCCCTCTGTTTGATGCTGGTCTGTGGCTGCTGTTGGGCAGATGAGAACGGGGATCACAGGGGTGTCCAGGAGTTGGGAAATGGGGGGGGACCTGGAGTCCAGGTCACTGGACTGCACTGCACTTGAGTCCAGGTCACTGGACTGGTCACAGAGCACTGGGCTGTGAGGAGGAATGGGCATGGGAGGGGGTTAAAGCCAAGGGAGGCGGGGGGGGGGTCTCCTGATCAGGTCTGAACAGCCCAGGCACCCTCCAGGTCTCAAAGTCCAAGACTAGTAAAGATTTTGAGCAGCAGTGGCCTTCTACCAAACCTCTCCAGAACACCTCAGCTCACACCTCTTCAAGGCGTCAAACATCCCTGTTTCCTCTGTCCTGCCCCTCACCCTCAGCAGCAGATTGTCCACGGACTCATCCTCTGACCACCCGCTGGTTCCCCCTCACGTCTGGCTCCGGATCATTCCCATCCCCATCCCTATTGCAGCAGCCCCCTGATACCCACTTGCCCTTGTCTCTCTCCTGCTCAGCAGTCGGCAATGGCATCTCCTACAAGATCAAGTTCAAACTCCACACTCTCCAGTCTCAGATCCAAGACTGCCTCCGCAACCCTGTCTAGCCCCAGCCAGCCCATTTGGCCCCGTTTTCTCTCCACAAGCTCCTTCTCCAGTTCACGGATTTCATCAGCTGATCCCTGATTCTGCTGGGCCCACTTTCCACGCTTCAGCCACCGAGAATACCCACGGCTGGAAGACCTTTCTCCTGACTCAAATCTGTAAAATCCTCCAGTCTGGATCCCACCTCTGCACACACAGGAGCTGTGCTGTGTCTAAGCTGCCCCCTCCCAAGATCGGCCGTGCATTTATGACGGGCTTGGCACGTAAATGTTTCCTGTGCACAAACCTAACGACTTGATCCTGGATCTGAATGTACTCTACTCTCCAGCTGGTTCTGCAGGTCAGGGCCCGACCGGCCGCCTCTCCAGCCCTTCACGCCAGCCCGGGGCCCCTGCCCTGCCTCTTGACTGCTGGCCCTGATGTCCTCCCATCCTTTTAGAAAATTTCAGTGGAAACAAACATATATACTTTCGAGTCTGCGCTCTTGGGCCGTCACGTCCCCTCTCTCGTGCCTTACTTCATGCATCTTTATAAAGGAGGGTGTTGATGACCCCCAGTGGTAAAGAACCCGCCTGCCAGTGCAGGAGACACAAGAGACATGAGTTTGATCTCTGGTCGGGAAGATCCCCTGGAGTAGGAAATGGCAACCCACTCCAATGTTCTGGCCTAGAGAATTCCACAGACAGAGGAGCCTGGTAGGCGACAGTCCATGGAGTTGGAGTCGGACACAACTGAGCGCACGCGCACACGGCCCCTTCAGAGTCAACCATGTAGTACCGTTGCTTTCCCCTTTCTGAAACCCCTGTAAGAGCATCTCATCCTCTGCTCTCCGCTTCCAGACTCAAGACTCAGTCCTCTACCTTCAGCAACTCTTAGCTCTCAGGCTCTCTGCCTTCAGAAGTCTGGCCTCCCCAGGTTCCATCGCTGAGCCGGGCACTCTGCCTGCCTCTGTGAATTGTCCCTTCAAATGGCCTGAACCCTGCCACACTCAGGAGCAGAGCGAGAGTAGATCGCTCTGTGGGCCAGTAACCTGCCCGAAGTTTCTTTCTGAGCCCCACTGGAGGACGATTGGAATCAATACCTAGCGCAATGAGCGTGCACTGGCACCTTTAACAAGTCCAAGGAGAGTAACTTGGATGCAACATACACATGAGAAGTGTTCTGATTGGTGCCTTTTGTGGTTTTCCCAAATTGGCACCAGGTGCCTCTGCACCCCTTCCCTTACCCACACCCCCCCTTCAGCACCGGGCCACAGCCACACCTCCACCAGCTGCGTTTCCAGCCAGGCAGGAGGGCTGCCTGGTCCCGAGGGTAGCGTCCAGCTTTGCTGTCGGTCTTCTAGCCTCTTCTAAGCCTGTCCCCTCTCCCTGCCTCCCACCTGAGCCCCACTGTCCTCTGACAGGGATGGTGTGCGCTGGGGGCTCCACCCTCCAGTCGGCTCATTCACGTGTCAGGCCTGCCTCTCCGCGCCCCCTGGGCCACCCAATACGAGGAAGCGGCACAGAAAAGGACTCAACGGAACCTGTCCTCCGACACTGGGCACATGCCCCTCGGCCACCTCCTCAACCCCTCCCCTTTTACGACCAAACAAAAACGGCAAACAGGAAACGCTCGTCTTTTAAAAATTACTCTATTATTATCAAATAGAACCACAGTATCCAAAATGTCATTATAAAGTTCTATCCCCAACTAAGTGGCCCTGCCCCGCCCCTCCGAGTGGCCGGCGGCCAAATCACGCCCCCCGTGCTGATTGGTTTCATCCATTTTATTGTCAAGGAAATGAACAGCCCGAAGGGGGTTCCCCAGGTCCGCGCTCTCCCCCCGCCACTGGGGCCCCCCGGGGGAGACGCGGCCGCCCCGCGTCCGGGGGGGAGGAGGGACGAAGGGAGAGGGGGTGGGGGAGGGCTCACGGCAAAAGGGCTGGGGGCGCCCCGTGCCCGCCCGCCGGGCTCGGGCCGGGCGGCGCTCACTCGCCCGTGTGGGTCCGCAGGTGGTACTTGAGCGACTGCTTGTAGCGGAAGCACTTGGCGCAGTGCGTGCAGGGGTAGGGCCGCTCGCCCGTGTGCGCGCGCTGGTGCTCCAGCAGGTGGTGCTTCTGCGTGAAGCGCTTGCCGCACTCGGCGCAGTGGTAGGGCCGCTCGCCCGTGTGGATGCGCCGGTGCTCCAGCAGGTGGTGCTTGCGGATGAAGCTCTTGCCGCACTCGGGGCAGGCGTGCGGCCGCTCGCGTGAGTGCACGCGGCAGTGGTTGGTGAGCTTGGACTTCTCGCTGAAGCTCTTCTCGCACTCGGGGCACTTGAAGGGCCGCTCGCCCGTGTGAGTCCGCTGGTGGCGCAGCAGGTGCGAGGGGCGGCTGAAGCTCTTGCCGCACAGGCTGCAGATGAAGGAGACCTCGTGCTTGCCCGCGTGCACGCGCTGGTGGATGACCAGGCTGATGTGCAGGCGGAAGCTCTTCTTGCACTCGGGGCACGTGTAGGGCCGCTCGCCCGTGTGCGTGATCTGGTGCTTGGTGAGGCTGGACTTGTGGCTGAAGCTGCTGTCACACTCGGGGCACTTATAGGGCTTAGGGCCGCCGCCGCCGCCACCGCCGGAGCTGGGCGACTTGGGGCGCGGCTTGAGCGCGTGCTTGGGGGCAAAGCCGGGGCCGCGCTCGGGCGAAGCGTAGCCGCCGCGGACACGGTGGATGCGTTGGTGCAGCGTGAGCTGCTGCTTGTGGCGGAAGCTGACTTCGCACTCGGCGCACTCGTACGGGCCCTCCTTGATGTGGTTGCGCTGGTGGATGATGAGGTTGATCTTCAGCCGGAAGCTCTTCCCGCACTCCATGCACGTGAAGGGCCGCTCGCCGCGCCGGTTCCGCTGCTGCTGGCTGCCCGAGCCCCGATTCTCGCCCGGGTGCCGCTCGCCGTGCGACGGGGGCGCCAGCCGCTTCACCGCCGGGTTCCCCAGCTGCAGCGGCGGGGGGCTCTCTTCGCCCTCGGGGGACAGCTCCCCCGGCAGCGGCGTCGGGTACAGGCCGGCCTCGTACCTCCCGGACAGCTGCCCGAGGGACTGCAGGTGCTGCGGCAGCTCGTCGTCCTCGTCGTCTTCCTCCTCCTCCTCCTGCTCCTCGGTCTTGATCACGATCCCCTCTGCTCCGGGGGATGGGGGGGAGAGAGACAAGACGCCGTTAGGTGTCGCCTGGCGCCCCTGACCCGGGTGAGGCAGCCCCTTCGCCCACACACACCGCGTGCGCACCGTCGGCCCCGAGGCCTTCGCACCTGCCTGCTTGTTCCCAGCGGCCCAGGGAACCCGGGCTAGCCGCGGGGCTTAGCTCAGCAAAGGGCCTATTCGGGCCCGCCTGACCAGGCCCGAAACAGGCGGATCGGAGCCCTATCTTGGAATTTTCTGTGGAGGAAGCGGGGACGACGGGGTCCTCATGGTGGGACGCGGGCGCTGTGTGTGCCCATCGCCTGGCACCTCTAGCGGGTAGGGACTCGCAAGTAAGAAGGAACCCGCACGTGGAGCCGTCCTGGAGGTGCCCGGGTCCAGGGAGCCAGAGGCTGGCACCCTCAGGACCTATGACTCTCCAAACCCATCAACATCCCTGTCTTATTTAAGCCACTTGAGGGTCGGGTTTCCACCACGCGTGTCCAAAGGGTCCTGACTCATCAAGTTCACAACCTCTTCCCCTCTGCCTGAAGTCGGCTCAGCCTCACTGGCCTCCTTTCCGGAACCCACCTGGAGATTTCTCCTTAGGTGCCTTCACTGCCCCTCCCCCAAGAAATCCCCTCGCCTGGGAGGTCTCCAGATCCTGCCCATTGCTTAACACCCAGCCCCAATCCTGTCTCCCCCTGAAAACCTTCCTTGACCTTCCGAACCTGTACCCCTCAAGCCCTCCTGAGCCCACAGCAGGCGTGGGGGTGCCTCCTGAGGTAGCACCTCACCTACATGGGTGGATGGCTCACAGACAGCGGACTCCACCAGTCCTGACCCTGGAGCTGGCTGGGGTCTGGGCCAAGTGTTCCATGAACACCCCAAATGGTGGCTGTCCTCCTCTTGGGCCTCTGCCCCCTAGCCTAAGAGGTTGTCTGTTTACAGGGTTCCTGGAGAACGGAAGTCCGAGAGCCTGCCAGCATCTGTGTGAATTTTCTCAAGTGCCTTGTTCTTACCTGGCCCTCTCTAAACACTGAATTGGGGAGCTCTATTCTTAGTAGCCAACTTTGTGTGACATGAGAAAGGCATCCACTTTCGAGTCCACCTGTGAGGTGGAAGATGAGACAGTCTGACACTTGTGGAATTCTTAGGAGCAAATAACTGAATTTTTTCACACCACTTTGCACCTACGCTCTCTCATGTTCCCAATATCCTGTTACAGGAGAAATCAAGAATTATCCCTGTCTCACAGACATGGGGCATCCAAGCTTGTGGCTATCAAGTCACATTTCCAAATAAAGTAAATAAAATGAGACCTCTTCAGCACTTGCAACTGAAGGACCAGCTAGTCTGTCCCCTCAACTGACAGGGAAACTGAAGCTGGCAGTGTTCGTGAGCTGGCCAAAGTCTTGTAAGTCTGTCAGTGACCGCTAGGCCACAGCACTTCTGGCTACTTCTCTGCACCCTGTAAGTGGCAGTGTTAAAATTAGAACACAGGTGTGCTGAGTCCCAGCTCAGGCCTCCCCGGCATAAGACAATGCTGCCTCAGTCCAGTCAGGACGCTCAAGCAGGAAGTGACCCAGAACATCCCTGGAACATGATGCTTAAAAGATCAGGAAGGAGGAAGCAGCTTCGGAGGTTGGCAACTCATTGCTCTGGTGTTGATCCTGAAAATAGGTTGTTTATGAATGGCAGAAGGGAAATATGGGCCTTGAAATATTGGAACTCTCCTTGGGTTTCAAAGTTGTATTTTCTCAACAAAATAAGAATGAAACAGTTGGCCCTAAAATTCAGGACTTGAAACCCCACAAAGAATCTTAGAATATTACTAAATGGTACTAATAAAATTATCAGGAATGTTCACAGGGCAATCAGTGCAAGGGAGCCTCACAATTTGCCTTGTGTCTTTCGCTATTCTCTAATGAAGGACAACGTAGTATGTTAAAAAGGTTTCTTGACTATCATGCAATTATTTAAAAATAAAGAGTTAGATCCACATCGTTTGACCAAGAACAATGTCCATGATGTTTTATTATTGTGTGCAAAAAGACAAACTGCAAGGCAATAAAATAAAGTGAAAAATATTTAAATCATCATTTCTCCATATAAACATTTAACTGATATGATGGCTAATGACTCCCAGTATACTAAACTTTGATAAGTCTAATATCTTAATGATGATTCAAGAAAAGTTCAGGTTCATTTCATTTATGCATATAGTTGTACAATTCCCGAGTAAAACAATAGCTAAGTCTAATAGTGTATTTAAAAAATACACCATGAGGATCACAGGGGCTTTTCTCAGGCCTGCATGGACAGGTCAGCGTCACAGAAGCCATCCTGGCAGAGCTCCTGAGAGTACATGTCCTCACAGGAAGCAAGGGTGTGCAGACTGGTGACCTGGTGGCTTTGAGATTAAACAGAAACGAGGCCTAGATTCCGCCAGAAAAAGACAGCACGGTCTCAGCCGTTTGCAAAGATGTGCGATCCAAGATGGAAATCTTCAAACCAGTTGAGGCTTCTAGTGTGACAGGGATGACCAAGGACAGGCATATCAGGAGACGGAAGTTCTCGCCTTGCCACCAGTGTGTGACCTTCTCGGCCTGCCGAGGGAGGGGCCGGAGAGATGATCTCTGCCATCCCCAGAGGTCCTCGTCTGACCTGGCCTTTGGCTGCAACACCCTCTTTCCTTGCCCGGGGATGGATGCTTTTAAATCCCGGGGCAGGGGGCCTGGACCTAAGGCCCTGCTTGGTTCGGTCACAACTGTTGAGCTTTCGGGGACACACGACCTCTCTGAAGGAGACCTCTGCTTCCCCCCATGTAGGAACCCCCACCCTGCCCCTCCATGGGCCTGATGACACCAGCTCCCCCCACTCACCCGCACAGTTCCTCTGCTGCACCAGCATCTGCTTGAGCTCGCTGAACTCGCCCGAGCCCTCAGTGGATGCTTCCAGCGGGTTTTCCGGCTCCTGCATGTCCAGGTCCGGCTGCTCACTGCATGGGTCCCCCAGCTCTGAGTCCTGGAAGCCGTGCTCCTCCACCTGGCCCATCAGGGGCTCCGGAGTCTCTAGGCTCTCCGAGCCTTCGTCATTGGTCTGCACCTCAATCTTAATCACGATCCCATCATGAGCTGAGAAGGCGGGCGGGTGGGGGCGGGAGAGGACAAAAGAATCCAGAACATGTTCATTCCACCTGCTCAGGTTTTTGCAGCCCTAGAATTTATATTTTCAAAAAGTCTTATTTTAGAGACCCTGAAGAAATATCCCGAGTTGGCGGTGAGTAGGCATAGAATTTTCTGGACACCGTGTAGCCTTGAATATAAACTGGAGTCAAGTTAAAATAGAGGCAGTTTGTTTCCACGACCCCTTGTAATTTTATAATAAGATAGTCATGCTTTCTTTTAAAAAGAGACCCCAATTCCTTTTCCCAGGTTAGGCCAGGACAAAGTCAACAGCATCTCTCTCTCTCTCCACCTCAACCAAGTTAATAAAGACAAGGCTAATCATGTGGTTGGGCTTCCCAGGTGGCTTAGAGATAAAGAATTCGGCTGTGATGCTGGAGATCCGGGTTCGATCCCTGGGTGGGGAAGATCCCCTGGAGGAGGAAATGGCTACCCACTCCAATATTCTTGCCTGGGAAATCCCATGGACAGAGGAGCCTGGCGGGCTACAGTCCATGAAGTCTCAGAGAGTTGGACATGACTTAATGACTAAACAATGACAATAGTCATCTGGTCATTTGCGCACCCTTTCAAGTCCTCGCCAGGTGTCCTATATCAACAGACCAGAACGCCCCCCCCACCCCCCAGTCCCCTCTCCCAGCCTCCATTTATAGGCACAAGAGAGGGCCGCAGGGTTGTTTTTAGTTAAATAGCATCTGATTGCACACATGGCCCTGACATTTTTTTTTTTAATCTGCTTGTACGTCTGTTGTAGGCTAATTTCAAATGTTGTTACACACAGGCATCACTTTACATAAATGGGATTATAGCACACATTTCTGGTTTTCAGTGCAGTATTTTTCCCCTTTTAATTTGCCTCCCCTTCCCCTCGCTCCCCACCTGACAAGTATGAGCGTCTCAGGTAACTCCCGGAACGGACTTCACACTTTTTTCTATGCTTATTGAATGATTTATCATAGCACGTTTACATTCCTGTTTCTTTTCTAGCCATTGGTTGCAAAAAATAAAACTGCCTTACACATAATCCTCTATGTTCCTTTTCTCATTCAAATATCCTGTAGAAATCCCTTCACAGCAATTTCTGTAGGCTAATGCATCCTTTTAAAAGCCGAGAATATTCCACAGTGAGGATCATATAGCAATGTGTTCAATCATTTCCTTATTGACAACATTCACTTTTTGCTCCTAGGCTTTTGCCCTGGTGAACAGCACTGCCATAAACATGTGTTTATTTATATCTCTGACTGAAAGGAGTGCTTTTATTTTTAGGAGAGTGGCGGGAGTGGGACTGCAGGGTCAAAAATTAAAAATATTTTCAATTCTGACAGATGTCATCAGCCTGCTTATCCACAGGGCTGTGACAATTCACATCTCTACCAGCACATTCCCCACGTCCCCGCCGGCAAAAGACATCACTGCTCTTTTTAATTTTCCTCGGTTGGACAGGTATAAAGTGATAACTTATTAATACTTTACTTCCCCAATGAGGGTAATGTGAGTGTCATTTCTTGGTCTTTGAGAGTGGATTCTATGTGAACTGTGTTCTGTCACTCGGTCAGAGACCTTTGATTCCTGTATTAGAGAACCCATTTCTCTTACTGGCATTTCAAATATTTCCCCCAGATTCATCATTTGTCTTTGCCTTTGTGTTACCTTTTATCATAAAACTTTCCTAAAGTTTTCATTTTGTCAGTTATGTCCCTTGTCCTTTTTATAGCTTGTGGGTTTTCTGTTTTCTGAGAGTTAAGCAGGTCTCCTCTGGCCCTAGGTCGTTCACCTGGTCTCCCAGATTTTATTCCCAGGTCCTTATCATTTTACGTTTTACCTTTAGCTCTTTATTCCACCTGAAATTTACTTCATCTTGTGTACAGTGTGAGGTAGGGGCTCAACTTTATTTTCTTGCTTATGGATAAGAGCTATGCCAGCATAAATCCCCTCAAATCACTTTGTTTATTAGGGAAACTGTCAACATGCAATACATGAACATATTTATTTTTTGAACATTTATCCCATAGCTATTTACTGAGCACCAACTACGTGTCATGTGCGTTCCAATGGTGGAACACATGAGGGAACAAAACAGAGCTCCCTGCCTGCCTACATCTCACATAAGGCAATAAACATAATTAATAAACTAGATGGTATGTTTCAAGGTGTAAGTGCTGCAGAAAAAAGAAATAGGACCAGGATCCCAGTGGATGAAGCTCCTCATTGTCCTTTCTTTGACACATTCACTTGTCCCGCCCAAACAAAGTGGACCACATCACCAAGAAAGCAGACCGCTAATCATACTAGCAACTGATGCCACATGGCCTAAAGCTGGGTTCTTTCTGATGCCTGGCAAGCCTTTAAATCCTATCTGATCAGTGGACTAATTAAGTCCTAAACGATGGGAGGGCACTGTGTAGGAAACAGTCCGACAGCCTTCCACGCAGCCCGTGCCTACTTTCCCTCTGAACTGAGCCACCAGAGATATCTTCATCCTACTCTCTGTCTTACAAAAAAGATAAGTCATCCACACTCACACCCTGGCTTCCTCCTGCTCCAGCTTGACGTCATAGCCTGGCTTCCTGTGTCCCCTCTCTGGCCTCCCCTCTTCTGGGCTCTCTACTACATCACACCGGCTCCAGCATCAGAAAAGTATCTTCCCTGACTTCAGAAACTCCTGGAAATATTTTGCTTGCCTCCTCCCAAAGATAATTTTTTAAAACCAGGTACTCGTTTGCACCTTCCTGAATAAATACATAGAATGCTTCAATCGCTGCAAAAGATGTAATTTCTGGAGTATTGTAAATATTGATATTTTAAAATAAACTCTTCCATTGCCATTTAATGTTGCCAATGGAATCTTAGAACCCTGGCAATTTAAAACCCACCATTATTCACTTAAAAAATACACGAACAAGTTCTTCTTTGATACTTGAAATTTTAATATCATTCCTTTTCACCTTGGACTTCTATTTCCATTCCCACTTTACCCACAGAATTTTATCCTAATAGAACATATTTTTGTGCTCAGATGCCTTTTACTGATCACCTCATCTACCACTCTGCCACAGAAATGTGCATGTAAATGGAAAGATTAATTTTGCTTTCATTTCTAATAACCACAGGGCTCTAAGAGTTACTTTTCTGCCTGGCTTAAGTCATCCTTAGTTATTACTATTGTGGAATGAAAAATAATTATTCAAGATGGGAAACCAAAAACCTGGAGGAAGTGAATCTCTTACAAAGATGGATAGGGACTTTTTCCCCAATTAGTTCAGTTATCTGAGAGTGAATATTCTTATCTCTTGAAGGAGACAGAGTTCAGAATAAATTCTATTCCTACTTTTCATTTTTATAAATATAATCATTGGGAGAGCTCATTTGCATAGATCTGGAGATGGGCTGGCGGGAGCTTTGTTATGGAATCATCCCTCTATTCTGTGAACTTCTGAATTACAATGCTGCAAAAGCACACGGTTAACATATCATCAAAAACTGTTTTTAATGACCTATTAGCTGAGAACTTAATTAGGTTCTCTTTCTATTTTGTTGAAAGCCAGGTATTCCAAATATCTGACTTCCAAACGAATTCACCATCCAGGCCCGAGCCATGCACTTCTGGTCCCCGTCCCCGCAACAGTCTGGCTTGTGTCTTTGTTTCATGACCCCAAGGGCGTTTTATACCTCAGAGAAACACTCCATAGTAAGGCAAGATGGGCAGGAAGTGCCTGTTCTTTATTTTCAATAGTGGGAGAGCCGGGAGCTAAGGAACAGCACTACTGGGTCCGCAAGCGTCCAGCGCCCTCGCTGATGCGTTTTATGAACGAGAACAGATGAATGAAGACTTGGAAACGGGACCTGAAAAGCCATCTGTGTTGTGCCTTCTGGGAAAGCCACTTGTACCCCCCGAGCATGGGTGTTCCAGCCTGAAGACCACAAAGCCTTCCCATCCCTTTGTTGTTCAGTCACCAAGTCATGTCTGACTCTCTGCGACACCATGAACTGCAGCATGCCAGACTCTTCTGTCCACCACTATCTCCCGCAGCTTACTCAGACTCATGTCCATTGAGTGATGCCATCCAACCATCTCATCCTCTGTTGTCCCCTTCTCTTCCTGCCCTCAGTTTTTCACAGCATCAGGGTCTCTTCCAGTGAGTCAGTTCTTCACATAAGGTGGCCAAAGTCCTGGAGCTTCAGCTTCAGCATCAGTCCTTTCAACGAATATTCAGAGTTGATTTCCTTTAAAATTGACTGGTTTGATCTCCTTGCAGTCCAAGGGACTCTCTTGAGTCTTCTACAGCACCACAATTTGAAAGCATAAATTGTTCGGTGCTCAGCTTTCTTTATGGTCCAATTCTCACATCTGTACGTGACTGATGGAAAAACCATAGCTTTGAGTATGTGGACCTTTGTCGGCAAAGTGATGTCTCTGCTTTTTAATATGCTGTCTAGGTTGGTCATAGCTTTCCTTCCAAGGAGCAAGTGTCTCCTTGGCTGCAGTCACCAACCGCAGTGATTTTGGAGCCCCCCAAAATGAAGTCTATCACTACTTCCACTTTTTCCCCTTCTATTAGCCATGAAGTGATGGGACCAGATGCCATGATCTTCGTTTTTTGAATGGTGGGTTTTAAGCCAGCTTTTTCACTCTCCTCTTTCATGTTCTCCTTTAAGACCCCCATTCCACCAGACATCCTAGGCTGCTCTCAGCCCATCATGACTGTGATCCTCTCTGAACCCAAGCCGTTGTCTGCTCCTCTATGGCATCTAATTCTTTTCCCCTTGAAGTGGGCAGCAGGTACACATTTTTGTGCCTCTCCCCTTCTTTCTGGGCAGCAGAGAAGCCAGTGTTTCCCACTGAAAAGTTCTCTCTGCACCAAACAACTTTTGAAACAGTACTGACAACCAACAACCAGGCTGCATTCATAAATGGTAATCTGTTCTCCCATTTAAAAAAAATTAAT